GTTGCGACAGTTGAAAGCGTGAAGTAGCGGAAACATACTTGCTTACAAAAGCTCGTATCCTTTGTTTAACGTTCTATTCTTCGGTTCAGCATTGTAAGCTTTGTACATGAGCTGTTCAAAGTGGACAAACGCAAACGCAGCTAGGGGACATTTGATATAAAAAGTACACACAGAATTGTTATTGCGATTAGAAAAGATATACTTGATTCGATTTGGATCAGCTAACAGTTCTTATAACTTGTAACTATATCTTGTATGTTATTTAAATTTATAATTTTGTAAGATTTAGAAATGGCGTAATTTATTCGGAATTCGTATTCATGAAACGTTTGATGCCTCGAGTATTCAAGTATTTCATTTTCTAATGAATTAAGCGTAATATTTATAGACAGGTTACAACACCATGTTCATTTCTATGCAACAACGATCCATTAGCACCTTTGATTTCAAACTTATTCAAACACAAGAAGATTCATTAACCTTATTCTCATTGACCGATTCAACAAGCAACTCAACTACGGAATTACACATTCTACAGGCAGTCAAGACAAAATTGTCAACTATAAACTAACGCTCGTTCTTTAAACAATTAATAGGTTTCCCAGTTCCAAATATTGTACATGTCTGCCAGACAAAGCCTTTTCGTAACATTTACTTGTACAAAGAAAGCAGGAGTAGTTCAGTCAAGTATTTCTAACAGCCAAGAGAAAAGACATTAGTACATTTGCGCTAATTCTTTAGAGTTTTTGGCAGCTACTCTTTTGGAGTTATTATTCGTTGAATTTGTAAGAGCAAATTATATTGTTGTTAGAATTTGGGGATTTTGAAAATTTAGGGATGCGAAGATATGGGTGCAGATAAATTTAGAAATGTACAAATTTTAGCAAATGAATTTGAGATTTAAAAATTTAAAGCTATTGATATTTGGGGACATAGAGATTTTATGTGGAGATCTAAAAATTTAGAGAAATTGGTATTTTGAAGTGTGGAGATGTATGGGGATTTGAAAGTATATGGGTGTCTAAAGATATAGAAATATAGTTATTTAAAAATATGGATAATATTTAGAGATTTAGAAGTTTAGAAATGGTATAGGAATTTAAAGATATAAAAATATAAGTTTCAAATTATATAAATCTTGAGATGTTTAGAAATGGTGTAAGAATTTAAGAGTACAAAAATCTAGAGATATAGAAATGGCACAGAAATTGAAAATTATACAAGTCTTAAAAATTTATGAATTTGAGAATCTAACTGATATAGGAATTTAAGAGTACAAAAATCTATAGATATAAAAATGGTATAGAAATTTAAAATTATATACGTCTTGAGAATTTATGAACTTGTGAATCTAAATTGATTTAGAATTTGAAGAGTGCAAAAATCTATAGATATAAAAATGGTATAGAAATTTAAAATTATATAAATCTTGAGAGTTTATGAACTTGTGAATCTAAATTGATTTAGAATTTTAAGAGTACAAAAATCTATGGATATAGAAATGGTATAGAAATTTAAAATTATATAAATCTTGAGAATTTATAAATTTGTGAATCTAAAGGTAGTAATTTAATAATATACAAATCTAGAAATATACAAAATGGTATGGAAATTTAAAATTATGTAAATCTTGAGAATTTATGAACTTGTGAATCTAAATTGATTTAGAATTTTAAGAGTACAAAAATCTATGGATATAGAAATGGTATAGAAATTTAAAATTACATAAGTCTTGAGAATTTATGAATTTGAGAATCTAAAGGTAGTAATTTAATAATATACAAATCTAGAAATATACAAAATGGTATGGAAATTTAAAATTATGTAAATCTTGAGAATTTATGAATTTAAAAATCTAAATAATATAGGAATTTGAGAGTACAAAAATCTAGAGAATATAGAAGTGATAGAAGAATTAAAAACGATAGGAATCTAGAGAATGTATGGATTTGAGAATTTAAGAATATAGAGCTCTAAAAGTATAAATGTTTAGCAATATAAAAATTTAGAGACGTAGGTGACCAGTCATGTAGCACATGTAGCATATGTAATTTGAGCATGTGGAGATGAAGGGGTGTAGAGATCTAGGGATATAGGAATATGTATAGAATTATAGGGATTTACTAGTATGAAGATTGGGGGATATATGGACATAGAGATATAGGCATATAGGGATGTAGAAATATAGTACATAAAGGTGTCAGAATTTTTGAAAAGAATATGCATATGGACCTAGAGTCTATAACGCTTCAAAGACATATGTAAACCCGCAATACCCGAATTAAGAAATATATATAAAAATCTAGAGATACAAAGAAAAAGGAGCATAGGAATAAAAATGTAAAAATATAGAAAATGACTGTAGTTAAATATTTAGAGATAATATCTATAGGCGATTAAGGCTGCAGCAAACCTAAAAGAATCTAAGGATACAAAAATCCAGACATCTCGAAGCAGATATAAAAAATCCAGAAATACAATCCATCTATGTATAATTTAGAAATATCTTCTCGATGTTAGACACACGTATTTTATATTCTTCACCAATCACTATAATTCACAGTCCAAATATGTCCCATATTAACCTTCATATTTTAACCCACTTTTCACTAATTACTGAATTTTTACTTTTTTTTGACTTCTCACTTAAACCCACTTTTCACTAATTACTAAATTTTGTCCTAATTCCACTAATTCACCATATGATCTATAAACTAAATTATGGTCCATAAACTATTTTCACAAAGAAAAAAAAAACTTGTGAACTTCTTTCGTCAATTTGTTCGAAATTAATTAAACTTTTGAATCGAACACGACTTTCTTCGTATACCCGTTTAAAGAGCATGTACAGCTATTGTACGAGTTTCTCCGACCACCCTGAGGCCACTCACTCACGAGTAGAATTTTAACCCGAAGAATTTGCTTGTGCTGGTCAGTCGTTGTCTTTGAGTCGCTTGCTACGCGTCGCACACGGTTTCGAACGGATTCTTTATTCTCCGAATGCTTTCGCCGGTGATTTCAATGCCGGGAAACGCGTGTCGTCCGCAGTGTCGATCGTTTCGCTCCGCAGTGATCCGCGATATTTAATTGACATGAACCGAGCGTATCGGAATATCAAATTGGATCGAAACGTGGATTTCGGAGAACCTCAAGTGTATCGACGCTCCTTCTTTCTGTTTGATTTTGTGTTACGGTGAAAGTTTCTTTTTGATGCTCGACATGGTGCCTGTTTGCTCAATTTTTCTTCTCGGTTGATTTAGTAAATTAACTGCTTTTAACTTCTTTTACAATTTCTATTACTATCTTCAAACTTTAATTAATTTAGCAAATTAACTGATTTTAACTTTCGTACACAAGTTTGAAAAGTCAAAATTTCACTTGGATTCTTGATAGAAATATTTTTTAACGCGTTCATTAAAATCTGTGTATTAAAAATGGACTCCTTTTACAATTTCTGTTACTATCTTCAAATTTTAACTGATTTAGTAAATTAACTGATTTTAACTTTCGTACACAAGTTTGAAAAGTCAAAATTTCACTTGGATTCTTGATAGAAATATTTTTTAACGCGTTCATTAAAATTTGTGTATTAAAGATGGACTTCTTTTACAATTTCTATTACTATCTTCAAATTTTAATTGATTTAGTAAATTAACTGAGTTTAACTTTCGTACACAAGTTTGGAAAGTCAAAATTTCACTTGGATTCTTGATAGAAATATTTTTTAACGTTCATTAAAATCTGTGTATTAAAGATGGACTTCTCTTACAATTTCCATTACTATCTTCAAATTTTTATTTAATTTGTAAGTCGGTATTTTAAATAATTCTTCATTTTTATTGTCATATTTATTGCATGTTTAAACTTCTGTTAAATTTTTAGTGCTGCTCTTGCCTCAACTTTTGAACAATTCATTTTGATTTTGCATCAACTGCAAGTCTTTTATAAAAATTATTTCGAACTAGATTTTCTAAAAATCTTTCGATGAATTAATTAAATTGATCTGAATAGTGAGAAGTACGATTAACGAAACATCAATGTGTATCAACGATAAAAGTAGTCGAGTTACAAATTCATATGGCATCCCCTTCGAATGAGTGTTTCTTCGCGACCGAAGATGAGACTCCAGACATATTCAACAACGGTAAACAAACTTCTTCCCACTTCACAGAATATTTCACATCTTCAAAGTAGTTTTAAGATTTACTCTACTTGAAAATAAAACGCATGCTCGTGCAATTAGTGGTGTTTGCTATCGTGGGCCAAACGTGAAGGAATGCGATAAATTGATTATCGGGAGGGTAAGATTGGAAATCGCCACTGAAAGGATCGTAAAGTGCCGGTTGCAGAATCAAGCACACTTCTCCAGAGACCAATACACATTTCGATCAAAAACAGCCTTATTTTGTCCCAACAGTGTTGCTCGCGATGTCCAATTAAGGTGCCCTACTTTCGATCAATTATCTTTTAAACTCTGATCCACTCGAATCACACACGATAAATGCTGAATTATCCTGCCATAAAAGGTGGAGATAAGTCTTTACATTCGGCCTTGTTCAAGCACCCTTCGGCAGCTTAATCATTTTTTTTGCAATATCGATTACATTCCTCGATACCAATTATCCAATTAAAGCTTGACGAGCAAACAATTCGTCACTAAGCATTTAATTTTTTATAAAATGCAGTGTTTAAGATTCGATCGAAAATAGAAACGATTATTTTATAATTTAAGAGAATTTTTACTGTTCAAAATTAACAGTCTTTGTACAATGACAGTGGTAATAAAATAATTTAAGTTACTGAAATCTTTGGTATAATTCGTATGTAATTTATTAAATATTTTAAATTTTAATTGTTCCTCTTTAATAAGAATGTTTTATCAATGAAATATGTAAATGCATATGTACATCAATTTCAAACATTAAATATTAAATTTTCATTAAGACATCTTCTACTAAAAAATTTTAGTATTTTAGGAAATTTTTATTTTTCTTTTCAAGGAAAATCGGAGTACGACATTCTGGAAAAGCCACCATTCAAAGAAGTCCCAACTGGAGACGAAGCAGTGGATCATTCTACAGTGGTAAGTAAAATTATTACTCAAAATTACGCTTATTAATTTAGCAATGCCCATGTGCTCATTCGTCGAATCGACAAAAGCAATTAGTGCGATAATAAAACTAGACTTCTCGTTTTTATTGTATATTGCGTAGAATGCAACGCTTTAACGATAAATAAAGTTAAAATATTTTTGTTGTATCGATATCTCGTTGCTCCAATCAGAGATAACGGCGAACAAGCAATGTTCCACTTCGTATTTTTAATGATCAACAAGTGGCAATTGAATCTACGTATTTGTTACTACATATCTACTCTTGTAAAAGATTGTTACTGTATTATGGCCATAATTGCTATATATAGACACAGAATCTATTTAAAATATAACTGTCTCTCCTACCTTTAATTTCCATACAAACTATTTTCATGTTGTTTTTTTTAATTATTGTTTTAAGTTAAATCTTTCGTATTTTAATATAATTCTTTTCTATCATATAAATTATTGAAACTGTGCCCTTTAATATGCTTTTCATTCTGTTTCATAGTTTGTGCTCAAAGTATTTCATTCTTTATCTATTTTTCTTTATTCTTTATTCTTCAACTTTTTTCAATAAATTTTATAAAATATAAACTACAATTATCTACATTATTTAGAAAACACCATTAACTGCTCTGTTTAGTTTTCTATCTCCAATTTTATATATAAAAAAATAAAATATGTTCTAAGTTTTTGTGTGTATCTTTGACTCCATTAATTTTCAAGATATAACTAAAAGGGAAAATTTCTGGTATCTCAAGCTTGTACATCAATATAATTTTTTTTTAGGATACTATCAGTTTATTAAGGTACCTTGAAGAATCTATTTTATTCCTGCACGTGGATTAACTTTCTCAAAACTGTAATCTTTGATTATTGCTATCTAACCTGTTCTATCTGCAGCCCTTTAGCTTTATAAACTTTATTTAGCTCTAAACTGTAACCCTTTAACTATTTTTATTGTAATGGTAATCTTAAAATAAAATAAGTAATCTACAGTTTCTATATTGTATAAAATATATTCTTGATTGTCTTAAAATAAAATAAGTAATCTACAGTTTCTATATTGTATAAAGTATATTTTTGATTGTCTGATTAAATCAAAACCCGTATTTTTGTCATAAATTTAATAAATTTTATATTATTTCCTAAGGCTTCTTCCGTTTACAATTTTTACTTTTCAATCTTTATCGACGTATCTACATTCTACAGGTATGAATCACTCTGCTATTATTGTTCAAGGGTGAACCCTTCTTTGGTTTAGTTCCTCATTCTATCTTCTCTATAATTCTCTATAACTAATACATGTACTAATTTTTAAAAAATTCTGAATTTGGAACCTACGATTATCAAGTTTATTTACTATCAAGTTAAGATAAATTCATTTTAATTTGACCGAGATGCACAAATTTTCAAATAAATCCTTCATACATATTCTATTTATATCATCAAAAGTCAGCATCCGAAGAAACCATAAAGATCAGCAAATTCCTCAAATTCAAAGTCCCCTTTATCGATCACAGAACAAGAGAAGGGGTTAAAAAGAATCACCTAAAAAATCGAAGCTCCCCCAGTCATACTTTCCTTTCTCACGAAGCTTCAACCAACAATTAACCCTTTCAATAACGTGATCGGCTTTTGAACACCTGTTCGTTTCCCCAAGTGTCGCGTGCGCTCGTGAAAATTACATCGTACACTCTCATAGAAGTTGCAAAGGTTGAAACGTGGGGACGAGCAACTAAACAGCTTGATAAATATTTCATTAACCCGCTGAGCTTCGATTGCAGGCCATGAAAGCTTCTCCCTAATTATTCATTCGATTTCTCTCTCGTTGTACCACTCGCTTCGAGCCTCTCCCGCTGCTACGTCGACGGACCGTGCATGGACAGGGTATAAGCTGTCTATAGACGGTCTATAGACTCGCAAAAAGAAGCGGGAGAAGCCGGGCGATCGGAACTGTCTTGCACAATTTTGTGGATTCGAGGATTCGGGAGTTTTACTGCAAAGGGTCCTCGGAGACGATTATGTGACTTTGATGAGTGTGTGATTTCTTTCACAAGGTGACTTCTTTCATGAGGTGACTTCTTTCGCGAGGTATGTGACTTCACTACAAGGTTGAATATTAATCCTAAGAAATTTCTGCAATTCGTAGAGCTTCTTTTATTAATCTAAATAATAAGATGTTACGTTATTCTCCTCTTCCTCAAATATTTTTATCATAAACGTTCAAGCGTAACTTCTTTCACTGCAAGGTTGAATATTAATCCTAAGAAATTTCTGCAATCTGCAGACCTTTTATTAACCTAAATGATAAGGTTTCACTTTATTCTCCTCTTAACTTCCTCAAATACTTTTATTATTAAACTTTCAAGTTTAAACTCTGTTCTGTACGTTCATTACGAATTTTGTCGACTACTCCAGAGTTAAGGGTGAAACTTCTCGTTTTTGTCAAACGAAACTTTTCTAACGGGAACGTTACAATCTGTCAGTCTGGCAAAAACTAAAATTCGTACGAGTGAACTTGCGAACTAGACGTCTGCCAACTTTGTGTTCGCAATTATAGGGTCTGCCACGAAAGGGGTAGTTTTTTGTTTCTCCGTTCGATAGGAGTGACAGTCATGTTTCGTTGGCCCTTACTCGATTGTAAAGTGTTTCGTGAACCGGCTGATATTCGTATAAAAAAAATATTTATTTGTAAAGGAGTGGGTTCTCGGGCGATCCATAAGAGTCACACCGTCACCGTCGGTTTCGTTGGTCCTTACTCGATCGCAAAGTGTTTTGTCGTAATCTGGTGATACCGCTATAAAAAAATATTCTGATATATTTGTAATCTGTCCGTGACGTTTATCGACTGTTTATACAATACACTATCGATAACTTGCAACGAAGACGCTTTAGTTCTCTGGAGGAGCTTCCTTATCAAAGATAGGCTTCTGGCCTGATAGTGCAAAAAGGATAATCTCGATGACGACGGGGCTCAGTATCGCGACGAACGTTTTCTACGAACGTGTTTCTCGAACTATAAATTGTGTCGGTGTTAAATAATTTTTGTTCTACGATGTGGATCGGTGGAACTAGATTTCTGGACAAATAAATGGAACTGGATTTCAGCAGATTTTGTATTAAATTACTCAGTTCTGTATTAAATTATGCGTTCAACGGTGGTTGATCGATCGAATGTTAAGTTCGTTAGTTAACGGACACTAAAATTAGTTTTACGGACAAAATTAGTTTTAATAAGAATGAATGAGATGAGGCGATCGACTCAGCCGGCGATCTACATCTGTCACGCGGTAGACGATGCTGAGATTCACAAAGATGCGTCCAGATCGTGGTACGCCTCGATTTTCGATGCGTTATGTGGCAGTGTGGAGAAAAAATGGAAGGCGAACACCAAGAGGATATACATTGCGAACGAAACGCTTGCTAATCTTGTACCGCCAGTCAAGGTATTAAAAAAATTATATAACAAAATATTTATAGAATTTTGTACAATTGGTTTACATATGATTTAACTGTTTAGGGTTTATATGTTTTATCTTCGTCGCTCGACTTCTATAATAACGTTTGCTCTTGTTCTAGGCGAAATAAATGAGATGTCGATCTGGAATTAATTTTATTGCGATCAAGGGGTACATATTCATTGTTGTGTATTACAGAAGTGGAGAGTCTTTTGATTTGTGTATTCTTCTTTTCTGTAAGAATTGATTAGGGTTTAAGAGTGGTTGTTGCAATTACGGGGATACACAAGATTATTGTATATTAATACGTTTAACAGAATTGCAAGAAAATATTATAAAACGTTTGAGAATTATTTTAACTGCAATCGTGTGGTTATACAATTATTTGCTTATTTATGCACTCAGTTCTTCTTTCTTCAAAAATTATGGAATCTTCAAAAGTTATTTTCGTTGTAATTATAAAGATACGTAATTGTCCAAAGAATATTGTATACAAATAATTATTCATTTACTTGAATTTTTCTCTGCAAGAATTAAAAATTGCAATAAATGATTTCCATTTGTAAAGTATACAATTCCATTTGATTTGAATAATTGAAAGTCCTATAGCATCTCTCTGAAATGTTGCTTCATTTTTCATCATTGCACACGCATACTCCGTATTCGAGTCGCGTTAAACAATCCTGAAAATCGTTTCAGTATCGTTCAATCACGACTCATACTTGGAACGTTTCATGCGCTCAGAATAAATCTTTGAACAAACGAGAGATACTCAAAGAAAAAAGATTACTATAAATAGAAATAGAAAAAAAGTATTAAGTAATCGAAAATTATCGAACTTTGATCTATTTCATACGCTAGTAAAACGATTAACTTCACTTTTTTGCATACTTCTCGTGTATAGATTCGTTCTCTGTTTGTCATGTGTGTAACATGCATAGGTTACGCCAGAATCCCGTGAAAATCAAGCAGCACGTTGCCAACACGAATGAAAAACGTCGTAACTCATCATGGAAATGATGTAATCATAAAGGAATCAGCGCGTGCACGACGGAGGGCTAGGTTTATCAAAGTACACGAGCCGAAGACGGTTCATCACGAGAGTAAAATACGAGTATGTGGGAGTATACTATGAGAAAATTTAGGGGGAGATAGAGAAATTTTCTGAGAGAATTTGGGGATGGGCAAGAATATATTATAATATTTTTGTAATTTAGGGTTTAGGGAGAGCTGAAATAGTTTATTGAGAGTTTGGGGAGGGACGAAGGGGTATCTTAATAATTTCGGGTAGGGACGAAGGAGTATCTATAGAATTTTGGGGAGAGACGAATGAGCATCTTAATAATTTTGGGGAGAGTCGAAACAGTATTTTAAGAATTTTGTGGAGAATCGACGGAGTATCTTTAAGAATTTTAAGGAGGTACGAAGGGGTATCTTAAGAATTTTGGGGAGAGACGAATGAGCATCTTAATAATTTTGGGGAGAGTCGAAAGAAAATTTTAAGAATTTTGTGGAGAATCGAAGGAGTATCTTTAAGAATTTTAAGGAGGTACGAAGGGGTATCTTAAGAATTTTGGGGAGAGACGAATGAGCATCTTAATAATTTTGGGGAGAGTCAAAACAGTATTTTAAGAATTTTGTGGAGGGACGAATGAGTATCATAATAATTTTAGAGAGAGTCGAAACAGTATTTTAAATATTATGTGGAGAGATGAATGAGTGTCTTAATAATTTTGGGGAGAGTCGAAAGTGTATTTTAAGAATTTTTGGTAGAGTCGAAAAGATACCTTACGAACTTTAGAGAGAGATGAAAGGGTATTTTAATAATTTCGGGGCGAGACGAAAGAGTACCTTAATAATTTTGGGGAGAACCGGAAGGATATTTTGATAATTTAGGAAGAGCCGAAAGGGTATCTTAAGAATTTGGGGAAATCCAATAGAATATCTTAAGAATTTGGAAATAATCAAAGGGGGATATCTTGAGAATGTGAAGAGAGCTGAAACAGTGTCTTCAGAAAATTTCGCAAAAGCCTAGGAAGTGTTTTAAGAGAGTTTGGAGTGATTAGGGATAAGTTTAAGAGAATTTGGGGAGAACCAATAGATTATCTTGAGAGAATTTGGGGGATTCTAGGACCACCTTGAGAGAATTTAGTAAAGATCTAGATTTAATCTTGAGAGAATTTAGTAAAGATCTAGATTTAATCTTGAGAGAATTTGGGATGGATCTAAAATTATCTTGAGAGAATTTGGGTGTCTAGGACTACCTTGAAAAAATTTGGTAATGGTCTAGTTAACCTTGAGAGAATTTGAAGTAAGTGTAGGACTATCTTGAAAGAATTTAGTAAACGTCTAATTAACCTTGAGAGAATTTAGGTTGATTCTAGGAATAACCTTGAGAGAATTTGGAGTGAGTGCAGGACTACCTTGAGAAAATTTGATAATGGTCTAGAATTAACCTTGAAAGCATTTGGAATGAGTCTAGGAATAACCTTGAGAGAATTTGGAGTGAGAGCATGACTACCTTGAGAAAATTTGATAATGGTCTAGAATTAACCTTGAAAGAATTTGAGATGAGTCTAGGAATAACCTTGATGGAATTTAGGGGTGAGTCTAGGACTACCTTGAGAAAATTTGATAATGGTCTAGAATTAACCTTGAAAGAATTTGAGATGAGTCCAAAAATAACCTTGATAGAATTTAGGGGTGAGTCTAGGACTATCTTGAGAGAATTTGGCGAAAGTCTAGTAGTAATCTTGAGAAAATGTGGAGTCGGTCTAGAACTACCTTGAGAGAATTTAGTAAACGTCTAGTTAACCTTGAGAAAATTTAGGTTGAATCTAGGAATAACCTTGAGAGAATTTGGAGTGAGTGCAGGACTACCTTGAGAAAATTTGATAATGGTCTAGAATAAACCTTGAGAGAATTTGGGATGAGTCTAGAAACTACCTTGAAGGAATTTAAGACAATCCTGAGAACCACTTAAAAAAATATAGATAGAGCTTAGGAATAACCTTGAGACTTCTAATAGAACTTAGGAACCTTGAGAAAATTTGGGGAGGGCCTAAGATCAACCTTGAGAGAATTTCGTTTTGGTACTACCTTGAGCTTAGTACTACCTTGAAAATTTAGAGCAGCCTAGAAAGTGTCTCCACACAATTTAAAAAGAGCCTGAAAGGTGTCTCGAAATAATCTTACAAACAATATCCGCCATTTACTTTCAATTCAAAAGCCTACCAAGAACAAAATAATTCCGCTTATCACAATTCTCGAAAGTCTACAGTTCGCGTAGAGAGCGAGGAACTAGAGTTTCGCAAATAAAATCTCAAATTAAATGTGGATAAAAAAAATGTTTCTACCTAATTTATTATCTGTTCCAGAAAGGGGCGCAAGAAATTGGAACATACCCGTTAACGAACAGTGTTCCTGATCTCATTAAGGTGAGCAGTTTTAAGTAATTTATCGCGTAACAATGTTTCCTCGGTTGTATCTATCTATTGCAATTAAATGACCGACAGATAACGGTGTGTTTACATTGCACGATTAATCGAACGATCGGCTTACGAGACAATGATTGATTTACCTCGAATCGCATTCCTCGAACGTGTCAGATATTACTGGTCTTCCCGAAAGATGATCAGCAGATGGACATACTTGCCACCACTTCCAGAAGACTGGGGTGGAGCGTATCGGTGGCAAAAGATGCGGAAGAAGCTGTCGAGTTCTTCCAAAATCGAGGTCACGAGCTAGTGATCATCGATCATCGGGGGCAACGTGGTACCCAAGCCGATGCGATTTGTAGGTATGTTATTTTTCATCACTGCAGTTAGGTATCATCATTGCAGTTAGGTATCATCACTGCAATTTGTCTCTGAACTGTTTTTAAAATTTTTGTATATTACTAATTTATTTTTGGTCAATTGCAGAATTGCTAATGTGAAGGGTTTTTAATTCTGGGGATTTAATTCTATTTTCCTCAAGAGAATTGTGTATGGCTTTATTTTTGCTATCATCGCTATTTCAGCTTATTAATATCGAAATTTAAAGGGTTATTTTTCAATTTACTTATTATTCTATTTTATACTATTATTCTTCTATCATTGCTATTATAGCTTGAAAATTAATATCGAAATGTAAAGAGCGATTTAACTGTATTTACCTCAAGAGAAATATTTTTGCTACTGCCATCGCTATTCTATTTTATTATAATTGTCAGAGTTTAAAGAATCGACTAAATTAATTTTCTACTCATTATAAAGTCATTGAAGAATTTTCTACTCATTTCTACTCATCTTGAATAATTGAAATATAATTAATTTCTTGTATAACCCTTCGGAATTGTCAACGATGTTACAGTTCTTACACATGTCAGAAATATTTCACAATCTGCAGACATTCAAATAATTATTAAATTTTTATTAATTTCAGAGCGATTAGGTCTAGTCCAGTTTACCATAATACCGTTGTCATAGCTCTTGTAAAAAAATCGTAAGTTCAATCTTTATACACCTACACCCACATATTGTATACTAAACTTACACAAATTTCCGTAGGTATTTTATGCATACCGAAAAAGATAAAATCGTGTCACTGGATTTGTTAGAAATAGGATTCACCAGAGTAAGTTCTTACTTCTTTTATGTTTTACAAAATCATGTTATCATCATGTTTTACAGAATCATGTTGTCATTATGTTTTACAGAATCATGTTGTCATTATGTTTTACAAAATCACGTTGTCATTATGTTTTACAAAATGATGATGTCATTATGTTTTATAAAATTGTGATGTCATTATGTTTTACGAAATGATGATGTCATTATGTTTTACGAAATAATGATGTCATTATGTTTTACAAAGTCATGATGCCATTATGTTTTACAAAATCATGTTATCATTATGTTTTACAAAATAAAAGTCATATCATTGTCTTACAAAATGCCGATGTCATTATGCTTTACAAAAGCATGACGTCATTTTAGAGAATCAAAATCATTTACAAACTTAATTGCAGAAACTTATCTTGAGTTGCATGGAAGACTTTGATTTAGTTCTTCATCGAATATTTTAAAAATTCTTCATCGAATATTTTTATTATTGCAATTGTCTTTGTTCCAGGCTTTAATGGAGTGCTCCCACGAAGGGATATTAATTAACGAATTAGTGGGAATTTATACCAGCACTTTGCTACCAAGAACACAACTAGCGGCTGCTGACGCGTTGTATGTGGCTCTTGACAGATGCCGTGATATGGTACACGTGACAAATGATAAACACATTGTACAGGTAATGTGAGTAACTCTTGTGTCATCCACATGTAACGAACAGATGTTTACTCTTAAAGTGCCCGTGACACTTTTCAATTAATATTTTGGTTCTCAAATATAAGTAACTTGAAATGTACATAAATATACGTGAATTAACACAAAATGTTAAAATGTTAAAATTAAAATTTTAAATAATTATAATTGTATATATTGTATATATTAAGTAATTATAATTTAGTTGCACTAAATTGTAAAGTGTATTTGTGGTACATTATAGAAGCTCCCATAATAGTCTCGATATTTAGTTTCCTTTATAAAATGTTTCAAACTTAACACTTAAATTTACGTTAAGTGTTTAATGATTGAAATTATACAAAATTGATATTATTTAAAAAAATTGTTTTTATTCGTTCGGTTTTAATACAGAATGTTTATCTTCCATTGCAGTTTGTTAATAAAATTAGCGAGAAGTTGTTAGGCTATACGATCACAGAAATATTAGGGAAAAACATCAGTGAGATAGTTCTCTACGAAAATTTCGTAGTGATGGAGCAGCAGATCAGCAAAGGTCACGAATTCGAGGGGAACATGAACTGCAAACGAAAAAATAATCAAATGCTCACTCTCAACTGCAGGATAGTACCTTTCAGTATCACTCTGAAGTGAGTATCAAACCTAAATGTAATTGAAGTAATTTTAACTATTTTAAATAATTAACTTTCAATGATTTTGTTTGTTAGAAAACCAACTCACTACATATACGTGTACGATACGATGTACCTGTCAGAAAATATCGATCCATCGGTCGATAAAGATCAACAACCGGGTCTTCCAAAGCAGAGTACAGTTGCGACACAAAGGCGGACATCTGATATGAAATCAGGCACCAGCGACAGTAATTATTGAATCTTTTAATTATTTGTGCTTCTATTAAATGCATGGTGTTTTGTTGAGATGATTTTGGGAATGATATAGTAGATCTTGTTATATCTGAGTGTTGTATGGTCAAGTTTTAGATTTTCAGGCGTTCAATCACCTCGCGTATATCTATGGTGCGGTCAGTTATCAAGCGTTCGAGTACCACGCGTTCAGCTATCGTGCGGTTAATTATCACACGTTCGATCACTACGTGTTCTACTATCATGTGTTCAATTACCACATATTAAATCATTACGCGTTGTATCGTTACTATTATATTGAAATGATGTCAATTGTTAACTGTTAGATCGCTACGCATTCGATATTCATGGACTCGATTATCACACGTTTCGATTTACCACGCGTCCCAATTACCACGTTTTCAATATCCACGCGTTCCATTTACCACGTTTTCAATATCCACGCGTCCCGTTTACCACGTTTTCCATATCCACGCGTTCAATTTGTCACGTTTTCAATATTCACGCGTTTCATTTACCACGTTTTCAATATCCACGCGTTTCATTTACCACGTTTTCAATATCCACGCGTTCCATTTACCACGTTTTCAATATCCACGCGTTCCATTTACCACGTTTTCAATATCCACGCGTTCCATTTACCACGTTTTCAATATCCACGCGTTCCATTTACCACGTTTTCAATATCCACGCGTTCCATTTACCACGTTTTCAATATCCACGCGTTCCATTTACCACGTTTTCAATATCCACGCGTTCCATTTACCACTCATTTACCACGTTTTCCACGTTTTCAATATCCACGCGTTTCATTTACCACGTTTTCAATATCCACGCGTCCCGTTTACCACGTTTTCTATATCCACGCGTTCAATTTGTCACGTATTCGATATCCACGCGTTCGATTTCCACGTCTTTGATGTACCAAGGATTTAATATTCACGCGTTCGATTTACCATGTTTTCAATATCCACGCGTCCCATTTACTACGTTTTCAATATCCACGCGTTCAATTTATCACGTATTTAATATCCACGCGTTCAACTTACCACGTATTCAATTTCTTCATGTTCGATTACCACCCATACGATGACCAAGTGTTCGATATCCACGCGTTCGATTACCACCCGTACGATGACCAAGTGTTCGATATCCACGCGTTCGATTACCATGCGCTCGAATTACACGCGTTCGGCATCTATGCGTTCCTTTACCACCCGTTCGATTACTACGCGTTCCTTTACCACCCGTTCGATTACTACGCGTTCAATTACCACCCGCTCGACATTTATACGTTCTATTACCACCCGTTCGATTACTACGCGTATAAATTATCACTCGTTCAATTTATCACGCGTTCGATTACTACATGTCCAATTACCACAAGTTGAATTTCTAAGAGTTCGATTATTACATGTCCAATTACCACAAATTCAAATTTCCACGCGTTCGATTACTACACGTCCAAATACCATAAAATGAAATTTCCATCCGTTCAATTACAACACGTCCAATTACCATAAATTAGATTACCACCCGTTCAAATTACTACACGTCCAATTACCACAAGTTGAATTACCACCCGCTCGATTACTGCACGTCCAATTATCGCAAGTTGGATTACCATACGTTCGATTACTATACGTTCAAATACCATAAAATGAAATTTTCATCCGTTCGATTACAACACGTCCAATTACCATAAATTAGATTACCACCCGTTCAAATTACTACACGTCCAATTACCACAAGTTGAATTACCACCCGCTCGATTACTGCACGTCCAATTACCACAAGTTGAATTACCACCCGTTCGATTACTACACGTCCAAATACCATAAAATGAAATTTCCATCCGTTCAATTACAACACGTCCAATTACCATAAATTAGATTACCACCCGTTCAAATTACTACACGTCCAATTACCACAAGTTGAATTACCACCCGCTCGATTACTGCACGTCCAATTATCGCAAGTTGGATTACCATACGTTCGATTACTATACGTTCAAATACCATAAAATGAAATTTTCATCCAACACGTCCAAATA